CTTAATTCATTGAGAAGAAAGGATTATACTAATATTGTTTAGACAAGACATCATATCTGCATCTTGTCCTCTAAATAACTACTACAAAGACAACAATATGCAATACATTAATTATTGTAACTGCCCTACTAACCTGCTTTGAAATTGTTTCATAGCTATTTTATCTTTTTTCTCATTAAGATGAATAAAAAATTAAAAATAAATAAAAAATAGAAGTCATGTAATCTTGCCATTTTATTCTATGTATAGTTACAAGGAAAATGCAATTAGTGTCTGAAAAATATAACTGAATTTCCATCTTAATTACAGCACTATTCATGATAGGCATCTGCAGAAAAAGTTATAAATGCCTATCAATGAATACATGATTAAAGATAATACTTGCACAACCATGGAGAATATTTAATCTACCATAAGAAAGAAAGGCAATCTTACTGTTTACATCAACAAATAGACACCTGAGAGTACTAAACTCAGTGAATTAAGCCAGACCAAAAACTGCAAATATTTTACTATCTCACTGAACAGTTAAATCTAAAATAATGAAAATAAAGTGAAACCCAGAACAGCAGGGAAGGTGATGATGTATTTTTGTGACCTGGAGGTGGGATACATAGACACTAATGACTGAAAGGAGCAACGTTTCAGTTATGCAACACAAATAAATTCTGGAGATATAAGGAACACATGTTGATGAGGGCAACCAATACTACATCACACACTATGTTTTCCTAAGAGGCTACAACTCTTATATTTAGCCTAAAAAAAGAAAATATTGTGTCTGGTGATTATGTATTTATCTGCTTGATTGTGATTTTCATTTCATAATGTATAGCAAAGCATCAAGTTTACATTTCTAATATATATTTTATTTGCTGACTATATCTCAGAAGAATAAACAGAATTTCTAGCTCCTCTTAAGATACAACTTGGTAATATATAAATTAATATGCTATTTTCAAGTCTCAAATAACAAAAAAAAGATGAAACATTTAGTTTAACTAGTTTTAGGATGCTGAATACTAAAATTCCACCTTAGAATATTTATCATAAGACAAAAATATATTTTATAGGACCAGCACAGAGTCTTCTCAGAGATTTCTAGAAAGTTCTGTGGGTAATTAATGAGGGTCACCATAAGAACTTTCAACCACAAATACACACTCCACTTGGCAGGTCAGAATGTGGATCAGAAGCCCTTCATCAGACACTGCAATGGAGCTAACTCCTCACCATCCTCAATTCAAAGCCTCCTAATGCCTCACTGCCTGTTATGAAGAGTGATGTGTATTTGGGTCACCTTCCAGCATGGTCAAAATCATTTCCCAGCTATGGCAATGTTGACAGACAAGAGCTGACACATGTGAGCGCTCTTCCTGAGAAGGCTTCCAAGGCCAAATTCTGGGGATCAATCAACAACACAGATAAAGAGCCAGGACACTACTCCCAACTAAAGATAATTCAAATGGTAGTTCCAGCCATATTTCTCCCCAGAGAAGACACAGAGGCCAGCCACTGAATGACCTTGCTCTCTTTGACTGTTTTTTTTTCCTACTCATCATGTTAAGAAAGACTTGGAGTTTCCTAGGTGGAACTGAAGGCTTTGACAGGGCAGAACCTTTATTCTGTTCACTAATGTCTATACTTCTGAACCTAAAAGTCTGGGACTTAGCTTCTCAAAGAATTTTAGTTACATTGAATCAAATTACTAATACCAGTATCAAGAAACAAAATATTTTACATAAAATAACATGAAATCTGATTTTATCTAGAAGTGAGATTAAGCAGAATAGGGTTTATCTCTCTCTCCAGTTTAGTTTCTGATTTCACAAACAGACCACAACAGTCAGAGCACAAAGAATTAGGAAAAGACAAGGAGACAATCCAGTGTAAAAAGTCAAAAGTGTCTGAATCTCACTGCCTTACCTTTTCCACATCGCCCAGACCCTCAGTGTCCAGAAGAACCAGGGTGTGATTTGGCTTGATAGGGTGAGGCACACACCACATCCAGACTCCCTTGGTTTTAGACTGAACAGTGGAACCCAGTGGGAAGCCTGAAGGGAAGAAGAGAAACAATGGAGACATCAGAGCTTCCACAGCAGTGCAGGGACTCTGACTTCAGGCTTCTTGGAAGGGGAGTACCTCAGCAGACAAGGTGGTACTTCTTAGCTTTATCCAAAAATGTTTTACCTAAAGGAAAAGGGGGTATCAAACATGACAATGATGATATTCAAGGGGTCAAGATAAAGACATCCAAGAATCAGACAAAACTGAGCTCACTGCCAACTACAAGAGCATTGGGAAAGAAGGGTTGGGCTGCATCACAGAGGAATACACTGAGCAGAGAGCAAAGAAGAAGAAAAATAGGACATGAAAATCGAAATTATATTTTTGTATTAAACAGAAAAGCTAAGCAAAATCAAGTGTTTGGGCTTGGGAGATGGCTCAGTGGAATAAGCACTTCCCTGGCAAGAGCAAGGGCCTGAGTTCAATCCCCAGTTCTGAAAAAAAAAAAAAAGTTTGTTCTCACTATGAAATGTGATACTCAAAAAAGGATTTTTAGAAAAATAAATTCTCAAAAATCTCTATGTACTGTTGAGAGTATTTCATATAGAAAGCAAAATATGGATGAAAAGAAACACAGGAGCCAGAGACTGAGGGTAATTTTGAGTACAAGAAGAGATTTTCTTCAAAGACAATAAAGAACATGCAAATGAATGAGAGCAAAGTAAAAATTTGCTGGTGAGAGTTAGAATGAGAAGTTCTCTTTACTGAGGAGAGTTGGGTTCTCCCTTTTTCTGCCTGGAAACATGAAGTAAGAAACTGAAATAGAACTGGTTTCTGATCCCCACGATAGCACTCACCATGGTTCTGTCCAGCCAGGCGGTTCATCAAATAGGACTTCCCTGTACGGTACAGCCCAACAATGGCTACCACTACCACCGGCTGAGCAACCTTGTCAAGAATCTCTATGGCTTCCTTGTTCACTGTCATCTCTTCATTGATGTTTTCCACCAGACAGATGGGGGCCTCCATTTTTACTTCAGGTGCCATAGCAATGTTCCAACCTAAAAGATCCTCTTATTAGAAAAATTTATAAAGTTTTTATCTCAAAAGTATCAGAACAACAATCAACTCAGGGCAGACAGGGTCTCTTGCATGTCGATGGGAGAACATGGACCTAACATTAGCAGATGCAGGAGGCTTCCTCCATCATTCTCCCAAATCTTTAATGATGATTTGGATTAAACATACAGTATTAACATCTCCAAAATTTTGTTTCAATAGTAGTAATAAAGCCCAAGTCATCACCAACATAATTTGGAGCCTATACTATGAAAAGTCACATTTATTTAACAGTTTAAAATACCTGCAAATTAGAGCTTATTTTAATTACTTCTCAAACGAGATAAATGCATTGTATGTAGAAAGGCTAAATGAATAAATCATACACAGCATTAAAAATCCATATAACTGAGATTAATGACAAACTAGAAAGTTCATTACACTTCTAAAATCCATGGAGATATTTTTTTAAATGCTAAAATAACCTTATAGGAATCCTGAAAGAGCCAAACGATGACTCTAAATGTCCAACCAAGACAAAGCCATATTCATAATGATTGGAAATTCTCTGGCATCTTTGCCCCTCCTGTTCCTATACTATCACTAGTATGGTGAGCTCTTAAACTGGAGCAGAAGCTGCCTGATTGACTCCAATTGAGACTGGGTATGGTGGCACATGCCTGTAATCCCAGGTCTTGGGAGGCTGTAAACAGGCAGATCACTATGAGTTGGATCTAGTAGTGAGACCCTGAACATCCTGTAGACCCTTCCCTAAAATACAAAAAAAAAAAAAAGTAAGTTACTCAGAATAAAAAGGCTACACATACATTTTTCACTAGAATGGCATAACAGTCAAGTTAGCACTCAGCTTCCCTGCACAACCTCCACTGGTCACCCTCTTCAGATGTGTGTACCTGAAGCGTGAACCTCAGTGCCTGGCTTACTATTCCTGAAATTGTGTGATCCCACCTCTGAGGGAGGATTAAAGGAATCTCTGGGACAATTAGACTCTTACTACAAGCAACAAACAAATGTCCCTGGTTTCTTAGCTAAGGATGAGCAACAGGACTTTTAACTTTGTATGAAACAAGTATATCTGTTAGATACTGTTCAGGAATGACTTTCAAAGTTGGATACACACAACAGTCATCTGAAGAGATGGCTAAAACCCTGATTTCCAAGCCTAAAAAAAAAATCTAAATATTAACAATTACCACAGGTGACTCAGATGTCCACATAGGGAGGTGTACATCTCACACACAAAGTTTTGACTATGTAGCTATTTTTCACCATTTTCTTATCAGCTAGAGCTAAATTTATTGTTATATGGATTATTACAGTTCTTATAATGAAGTTATCTGAAATTGGCCTATAAGAAATGTCTTCTTTTGTTTGGTTTGTTGTTGTTTGTTTGTTTGTTTGTTTGTTTTTAAATCCCTTTTTCTCTGTACCCAGGGGCTGAAACTAGCAGGTAGTCATCTGTCCAGGGCTTCGCTGTTCTGCCCTGAGCAAGGAGCAACTTGCCTGGGGCCTTTGTGTGTCTGCTGCCACCTCCTGGCTGTTAACTGGCCAGCATGGAGATGCTGAGCTTTCCAGAAGTGAACTCATCCCCTTCTCCCGGCAGCTCAGACAGCTGGACACCAGCCTTTCCTGTGCTTTCCCCAGCTGATTTCCCCAGAAATCAGAAATCTCATCAAGTTCAAGACTAAGCTCAAGCACAAAAACAGTGACCTTACCTGTTTCCCAGCACCACAGACCCAAGTGCAGTTCTCATCCGCTTCTTAGTCACTGCTTGATCTCCTTCAGTTCTCTGCTTTTCCTCTATGTATGCAAATACAGATAAAAATATTAAGGAAGCTAGTGCAAAATGTACATCTTGCAAAAAGGTACCCCTGCACTAAAATTGAAACTCATAGTAAAGTAATTAACATTCACACTTTAAAACAAGAAACCGTGTTTACCGCTGGGTGAGTAAAAAGTTGATAAGCACACTCAGGAGATAACAGTAAAGGAAGGTTTATTACTCACATCAATGAAGGAAAGCACCAGAGATATTTTCCAAAGCAGTGTTTAATTTATTGGGGAACCTAATGCATATTCATGAAAGTTATTATCACATATGGAGGCAGGCACATTTTGGAGCATGCTCAGTGAAAAATCATCCTATTTTTTGTATCACACGGTTAAAGATGGTAGATGGAAGTGAACACATAAGGATATGTAGAGTTTAACATTTTCTTTAGATTCCCTATAATAGTGACAGGGCAATTTGGATAGCTGAAACAGTTCCTTGGAGTTACTGTGGGGGCTTTAACTGAAACAAGAAGAAAACTTGAAGAGGCAGCAGCTTCTTTTCAAGCAACCGCAGGTCCTTGCTCCTATAAATTCCTGCCCACCAGCATCCACTGTCTTAGGTCAGCAGGGGAAAGGTTGAGACTTGTGATGACAGCTTGAGTGTGGATGTTTCATGCATCACTGAGAATGAGAGGGCTCGGGCAGGCCCCAGTTACTGCTGAGTCACCTCAGTAAACACTTTTAAACCACTTCTGTGTCTCCCTCATCCTGAAGGCCTCCCCAGCTTCCCTTCTGGGCCTGTCTCACCAATAGCCTCAGTGACCTTGCACAGGGGAAAAACAGAGCACAGGTGGCACACACACACACAAGGAAAGCTATGGAAACCATGGCTATAGTATTCTGCTCTTAGGTGGAAGTGCTGGGAGTTTTCTAAAATACAATGTTTAATGATTTTTAACATGTTCCCCAATGTAGAGAATAGTAAGCATATAATTGATCTACGCTACAATACTTCAAAAGTGATGACAAATAAAGACAAAAATCAATAATCTTTTACTGTATTATCCAGAGATATTTATTTATTGCTGATATTTTGTTCAATATTCTTATGCTTCACTAATCCACAGAAGCTCTCCTGATATCAGTAACTACTTTGTCCAGAAATGAAGTCAATTAGCACAGTTTTGAAGGCACAGTTTTGGTCAATAACAAGTGAGCACAAAAGTTTGCAGAATAAAAAGCTCAATAAAGTGCAGCATGGACAATGGCAGGTGGGTTAGGAAATGCCTCAGAAGGCTGGACTGTGGGAACAGGGGCATTCTCCTGCCTCTGCCTGTTACCCATTACCCTCCTCTGTAGAAACATTTTTCATAAAAGAACAAATAGTGATATTTCAGATCAAAATTTGTATTGCAACTTCTTGTTCAGAGCATCAAGGGACAACAGGCAAATGAATGTGCTCCTATAAAATATTTTTAAATACAGACAATGGGAAGGTCTGACCTATCTAGGCACATGGCATGGTGACTCTAGCTAGACTGAGTCAGGTGGGGCAAGATGAAGTTGATGAAGACCTGGTGGTGATATTTCCACTGTAATCACAGGCCAAGAAACAATACACTTGCTTGTTTCACAAGGCTCCACTTTAATAGGTAAAAGCTGGTAGGTAATACTCTCATATGGTTATTGAAAAATTGATTTTGAATTTATAGTAAATTATCGATTTTAAAATAAAGTGTGTAGGAATATACAATCAATTATGAAATTATCAAATGTAAACTTATGATATATAAACTATACTAAAGTGTAAACTCACATGTGAAAACTACCATCTTTACAAAATCATAATGTTGTTCCTATATGTTTCAAACATACACTTCGGCTTTAATGGAGGTGTATAAAGGTTCATTGAAATGAGAAAAGTGATAAGATCTGAGGCTCCTGTAAGGACATGTTTTCACTCATGTGGTTTACTATTTGGGACATACTGCAGGAAGCCACCGAAAGAGGAGAAGGAAAGGAAAAATGAAAGATAAAAATGGAAAAAGCAAAGAAGTGTTGAATAGGTGGCAATTCTGGGGAACTAGACATTAATCCTCTACTGGATGACTTGAACAATTATACCCACTGTGCAGTGGTGCCCCAGTTTATTGACTTAATTTGTCTTACAATGCTGGGGAAGTCAATATTTCTGTTTGTGTGAGAAAAATGCCCATGGTCATGTTTGTTGCCTGATGCAGAGTTTGCAGATCGAAGCAAAATTTTGCAGAAAGCCTTTGTTTGCAAACTGAGTTTCATGCAACAAAGTGTTCATGAAATGAGTGCCACTGTATTTCAAAACTGCTCTTTGAAGGACACTACAGTGTATTTATACACTTCCCATTGGCTGGTAATGGCCCCAGTATTCTATAACTCCGATGACCCAAACAATTGTACCTGGGCAAAATGGGCTGGAATATAAGGCAGGACACTATCAATTTCAAGATGAGCCTTCTCAACTTAGCAGAACTCTGCCTTGACATAAAAATGAAAAAGAGCTGGGAATGCAGCCCATTATGCCAGCCCTTGATTCAGTCACAAAAATATTTTCACAGCTTAGAAAGAAGCATAAGTAAGAAAAGAATGACGTCAAATGGATAGACAAAATGACCATGGGCACAGCAGACAAACACACTCCTTAAAAGCATGGTGTGCAGTTTCTTCCAAGGTGTCAGCAACTTGAGAGAATTGTTTTTGCTAAAAAGTAATAACTGTTTATTGGACCTACACATGGTCAGTAAGAACTAAAGGCACAAAAACACTTGACCTTCATTTTATATGTCACCATTACCACCTTAAAACTTTAAGTCAAACCCTTTCTCAGCTCTGCAGATCAGCACATTATCACTTAGAAAGCATCCATCTGAAAGTTGGCAGAACATATTTGATAGCCCTGACTGTGCATAATATATCTTACCCCTTCAAGACTGAGGACACCAAGATAAGTGGCTTACAGGAACCCTCAGCCATACCCAGATGCTCCAAGACACTGTCCTGCACCTAGGTTACGTTGCACTCCAGAAGAGCCTCACAAGGTTCAGAATGCCCCAAGTGGATCCTACAATCTCAAAGACTGACTGTGCCTGCAAGCAGTAAGGATATTTTCTGCAACCATCTCTCCAAAGCAGTACTGAGATCATGAGGAATCTGATATCAACTCACTTTAGCAAATACATACAATCTGGCCTGGTTCTTTATAAATGGGCCAATCTGAACCTTTTCATCAGAACTGTGGCCTCTCTCTCAGCTGCTTAACCTGAAAGCCTTCACTATTTACTCTGACTTCCATTTGTAAGGGCCCAGCTTAATCTTTGCCAAATTGTGCCCTCTGTCTTTCAGCTAAAAAACCTAAATGCCCTTAACATTTTTTCTTACTTTCCAAATGAAATTTTTGTAAGTAAAATTTCTGCTGATGGCTTCAGTTTTAATTTCCATTACCAATGAAGCAAGAGCCAAAGCTATATGCAGAACTGACAATGAATTTAACCCCACATTTTAATGTAATAAAAGAGACAGAGGAATAAAGGTTAAGCTTTCTTATGCTTTGAATTACATATAGTATATATCTTCAGTAAATGGAAGATCACATATTTTTTAGTAAGAGCTGCCTCAATTTCCTGACTACTATAGAATAAAGCACAAGCCATGCTTTTTTTAAAGGAATCTAAAACTATTTATTCACCACTGCTTACCATTATTTGCAATAAAGTACACAATATACATTAGGATAACATTCTGACTACTAAAAAGTTGTTTTCCTGGCTTCTGCTGAAAACAGTAACCTGAATACTGAAAAGACTCAGCCTACATGTAAGGAACAAGCAGGGATCAAGAAAAAAAACATGTCAGTCAATAGTTTAGATTACAAGTTTGTCCACACATTTATTCTAAGTCCTTAATTGTGAACACCACCAGCCACTCAGTAGGTTTCCAAGAGCTAAGTCAAGGCATATATGAATCCTGACTTTTGAGTGCAGATTTCAACTTGCTGTGAAGTAATGAGTCTTGAGGAATTTTTAATGTTCCCTTGTTAAGTATTCCTTAGCAAATTCAAACAAACCAAGCTTTGACTTACTACCTTGTTCAGGTGGGAAAGTTGTTGGTAGAAATAAGAATTTCTTTTTCTCTTTATGAGAGAGGAACTCACTATGTAGTTCAGGCTGGCATTGTGCTCATTTTATAGCCCAGGATGGTCTTGAACTCCCAAGATACTCCTGCTTCAGCCTTCCAAGTGCAGGGACTGTAGGCATGCACCATCATGCCCAGCTAGATAAGACTTTTTTTGGGGGGAGGAGGAGCTTTGGAAGTAAATTACATTGTTGTGACTAAAGACAGATACAGATTCTGATATGGCTGCTTTGAAAATACCTACTTTAAACTGTCCAATTAACCACAAAACCACCTATTTAACTTAAAAGGTAATGGCTTCAGGAAAACTTTCTGTTTAATTGGAAGTGATTTCTTAGGTTTCTCAGAATGATGGCATCTCAAACATGAGGCTATCACCTATAGTTTTGTTTTGGTGAGTGTTTAAAAAAAAACACTTAAGAATTTCATTTATACACACACAAACAAAAAACTCAGAATGATCTTTAAGCTTATGAGCTAAAACATGAATTGGACTATGGACAATTACCCCCAACATTTAGAGAAGCAGAAGAAATGTATCAGGCTACCAAGTGCTCTTTTTTGATAAGGGAAGCAATTACAAAAGCTTTATTTATTTGTTCAAAGTAACCAGTGCTATAGATGCAAAACAAACAAAACCCAACAACTCCCTCAAATGCTACTTTCAAAACTGAAATATGAAACTTGTTTTCATTAGAATGTTTCAAACGATGTAAGTCACTGAGCTTCATCTTCTGGACAAGAGTGCCAAGTTAGTCTCTCTTCATAAAAAAGCAATTATAGTGCTTCCCTGGCAAGTGTA